TAGTCGTGCAATTTTGTTTCAAGAGATGATTTGGCTGAATTAAGTTTCAAATCCTTCTTAGATTAACAGGAAATAGTAAAGTAGCATTCCAAACACCTATCTCATCTCAAATATTATATTACTACTTCAAAAGTGAACTATCAAGCTATTTACAAAAAGATAGCATTACTGTCAGGTCACTGAACCCTAAAAAGCGTTACATTTATTATTGTAAATCTGTTAATTTCCTGCAGTGAAACTACTACCCTTAAGTCTTCTTATTTTATTTATTTATTTTTTGTGGTACCAGATATAGAACTCAGGACCTTGCGCTTGCCAGGCAGGTGCTTATTCAACTGAACTATCTCCCTGGACCCTACTCTTAGGTCTTTACTGTACCCTTCACCACTTCACTGGTACCTATAGTTTCAATGACTTATTTAATCCTTTTGAGCAAATGTTTGAGCTTGGGAAAAAGGCAGACTCCTATTCAATAACCAGCAACTGAACTTTTGGTGTCAGGTTCCCTTTTAAAAGCTTTTCCTCTCAATTGTTTCTGATTTAGGTCAAGAAGTTTTAGACTTCAGAGACTACATTTTTATTTTTTCTATTTGTCTTTTTTTTTATTTTTTGGCATAACAGGGGATTGAACTCACATCCTTCCACTTGCCAGGGAAGCACTTCTTCTACTGAGCCCTGGTCCCTTTCTAATTATCTTTCCCCTAGAATTTTATAGAAAATTCGAAGCTGAATAATACTTTAAAGAACACATATAGTTTTCATGATAAGACCTCACCTGGAAAGTCCTTACTTATTTTCCTCAAACTCTTGCTCTTATCCCAGCTCCACCTAACCCTCATTCTCCCCATTGCTGATAAATTATCACTAGAGAGCTCATCAATATTCTTACATTGCAATGCTCTCACTACTAAAAATGGTTAACCTTTATGAAAAACCGTTATAGACCAGCAATGTGTAGTACTGTACATCATTTCGTCTTCACAAATCTATTACCATGTCCTTTTAATTACTGAGGAGACAGGAGGGTTAATTAATTTGTTCAAGGTCACACACACAGTGAATACACATCACCTTTTATTTCGCTGCCTACATGCTGTGTTTGGAGCATATGTGCTAAATGAACCACGACAATGTGAACAATTCTCAGGAGCAGAGACTGAGGTTTCCGCTGTTTTCTGTTTTGGCATTAAAATCCCAGTACAATTCTGGGCTTGCAAAAAATGCCTGGCAGGGAGAGGGAGCAATGAAGGAATGACGTTGCCAGGGGTGGGGATGGTTTCTGAGAACCAAACGAACACAAATGAATGTGCTCAGCTTTAAGAAGGAATTTATTCCCTGATGATTGATTGCATGTTGCTAATTTTTTTTTTACTAGTCTTCAGAAGATGGTACTTTCCAAATACTTTAAGTAAAAATTTCTCCTTGAATTTTTTTACTACTAGTGATTTCCACTCAAAATCTATAGACTTCATGAAACTGTAATTGTCCTACTGCTTTGGTATTTGATGTTTGGGGGAGATGCAACTTAAAACAGCAGTTTCAGTATAAAATGGTCTATCCTAGTTCTAATTACTTTAGCAAACAGTAGGCCTTTATTTTACGATTTTTTTTTTTTTTGCTCCGAATGCCTTCAGGGCAGCTTTGGTTGGCTTGAGTTGTGGGGATCGAACCACAGCAACCTGAGCCTGACTGCTTTGTTGAAGCAGCCACTTAAAGAACTGAGCTAAGGGGCAGGCCCCCAGGCCTTTATTTTAATGGGAACTTTTATAGGTCACTTTTAAAACGTCCTGAGTAAATTTTCTACTACTTGCCAGATAAGTTTTTTCCTTCTTAAATGATGTTTTACAGATGATGGCTAAGCATAGTACGGAGAAGGTGCAAATATTATTGATACAAATTTAGAGCCTGACAGAAAAATTTCAGTTTAGCATCTTTCTGTCCTATATCTTGGTCAAAGAACTACATTGAAATGCTAGGCTTGTTTCAAATTTCCTGTGAAATGTTAAAATATTTATTTCTCATAAAGTATTTTGGAGAAATTTCATATGATGGATGATATGTCACACCCAAATCTGTAATCTAATAAGCTTATGCTTTAGATCTAGTAAATTCAAAGAAGAAATACTAGCTGAATGGACTAAAATTTTTACTTCAAATCATATCATTAAAGACATTCAACTGTAAAGCTAATTTTTCTTTTGGTCAACTACAAAAAATTAAGTCTTTAACTAGGAGTTTTAGTTTGCATTGTAGTTTCTGAACTACCTGGATATTTTCAGTTTTAAGAGCTAAACAGAAGAATTGGCAAGTTATAAACACAAGGAAACACTAATCACTCTGTCTTTATTATATGTTACAGGCTTCATAGTTCAAGGAAGAATCATACATAATTATCTACTAGTCATTTGCAAGTTATAAAAATCATAGTGCTGCATATCCTTTGATATTTTTCTTCCTAGCTTTCTTTTTTAAAAAGATTTTTTCAAATTCCTAGTTTTCTTTAGAGTGCCTAACAACTTTTTCTAAATGTTAAGAAGTTAAATGTTCGGTGCATCATGTACATTATTTCTGAATATGAGCTTCTTAGGAATTTAAAAACTTGGATAAAAATGCTACATTATAGCATATTGAAGTAGACCAGCAATACTGGAGCTCATGAATATGAACTCAACGGTTAAAGCGTTTTTAGCTTTCTTGACATACAGCAATCAATTTCTCAGTTATTAAACCATTTTGGATCCAATAGATAAAAATACAATTGCTGCAGACTATTTATTGACTTATTTGTGTCTTACATATTTACAAGTGCTCTTTGACCCAATTCTTATTCAAATAGGTTCATGACGTGTTCTATGTTTGGTCTAAAATGTAAATTGCTTTCATTGTCTTTGTAGTATTATTGACTATGTTTTCAAAGTTGTACTTGGGAAGTTCAGATTTTAGATATTTTCCCATTATAGTTTTGGAACATGCAGCTGTATTTTAATAAACTAGTTCTGTATGTGTGGAAAGATTTTAAAAGAGGAACCAGTACATTTGCCATTCTTAGAAGATACCTTCAGTGTCTCTGCAGCCAGTACTGTCACATGCTCTTGTCTGTTCCCTTTCAGTGCTTTGAATCTTCCTAAATGGCAGCTTCATTGCTGTGCTGTACTGAAATGATCAGTGGATGCTGTGCCAGCTTAGGCCATCTCCAGACACTGCCCTGACTGTTAGCCCAAATGGATTTTCTTTGATGCTTTGCTAGCTGCTCTTTTGTGTGGCCTAGAAAAATTCAGAAGTGTGAAATTCAAAGTTCAAATCTGAACATGCTATCGAGGCTACCGTACTCAATAGTGAATCTCTGTGTGTTATACGGAGTCAGCTGCCTCGGGACTGCACTCTGTCCTCCCTCTCACTCCAAGCACAGCATCAGAGTCCATAAGTGAAATGTGTTGTGTTAATGTTTTTTGTTTATTAGGAAGCCCCTTCTTATCTGTGATCAAAAAGAATTTAATTTAATTTTCTTGGTGGAAAAGAAAAACAGATGAGGAAATCCCATGGAGGTCTCTATTTTCTGTGTTAAATGATATCATTTGAAAGATGAAACACTCCCAACCAGTAAGAAATAAATGTGTGACAAGGTATGAATTCTAGAGTTCAGGTTGTGGGAACAGAAAACTAATATGGCCAAAATCGTTGTACAGGTTTGCTACATATAAGAGCATTTCCAGATCTTATGAAGCTTAGATACAGTAGCTTTTTGGAAAGGAGCTAGACCATGTAACGTTGATATACAAGACGAAGAGCAGAAGAGGACTCTGCAAGAAATTGTTAAAGAAAAATGTTTAAAACTCAGTGCTTTTTTTCCCCTTTAAATAACATTCCTTTTTCTTAACATTTTTGGATTCCTTTAGCATCTCTTTAATTTCTACAAGTTTTCTGAATGCACTGTAAAGCATTTGCCAGAAGGTGGCGGCATAAGCCCTCCTTGATAGGAGCTGTCCTCAGTGCTGAATCCAGTTTCGAAGATTAAGAGAAGCTCAATGGGTAGGGAGGAGGGATTCCACCAAGTTCTCCCTAAAGATTTGCAGGTCTGGTAAGAAATGTAAAGGTTCATATAAAATTCAGAACTCATTTACAACGCATAGGCTAAATATTTTCTTCTTTGAATTTTCTCTCCATAATGCTATGGCAGGTGGCAGTGTTCTCTGAAATTAAGAGAAAAGTGTGTGTGTGTGTATGAAGAATATACATTAAATTGTCTCACTCTGACGCGCAGCTGTTTACCCATCTTTGTCCTTTAACATATCCTTTATACTCTACCCAAATTCCCATGGGTTCTTTTTCAAATTTTTAACTCACAGGCAACATCTTCCCCAAGAGAGGCAGGTTGGACTGCGAGATAATGAATGGGGTGATTTAAAAAGCTAGGGCACACTCCATCTTCTTTCCATCAATTAACAATAATTTGTAGGCTGACCCAGAGCTGTCCATCTTCCCGTTCCGACTCCAGGGTGTTCTTTTCTCCTTTCTTATCGCTAAAGAAGGTCCTGGGATGTTGGCTCTAAGAATCTGACAGAAATACCAGGCAGTGGGTAGTTGGAAACGGTGTTTGTTCCTCCTTTGAGTTTGGCTGGCTGGGAGGCGGAGTTTATCTGTTACAACGTTAATCTGCCCAGTGGATCGGGTTTGTGTGAGTGAATTTTAGTCTTTGTCCACAAAAAAGGACTTGAACATAAGGACGCTGAGCTAAAAGGAGAGGAGGACGGGGAGCCAGGGGAAAGAGACACTCAAGGTTAGGGAAGAGTTAGGAGGGGGGTTAGCGCGGGAGGGAGGGAGACCATTGGAGTCACACGCAAAGGGCTAAAGACAGGGAGGTGCAAAGCAAGGAGACTGAAAGGGGAAGCTAGTGGGATGAATCGGAGAGGAGGAGGCTGAAGGAAAATAGGAGAGCCAGTGCGAGAGAAGGAGGGAAAGAAGGAACAGGGAGAAAAGGGTCACGGAGTGACCGGGGAGGATGGGATTTCTCTGTTCCAGATAATTCTGGGCTTAGAGACTGTTTGCTAGTGAGGAGACTCCGGCTTCAGTAGCCAGTTGGACAGCTGCAAAGTAACATGGACAGCAGGAGACAGACCTTCCAGCAACCTCTCCGCTTCCCAGAGATCCGGGAACTGCTCTCAGGCCAACTTCAGTTTTCCAGCTGGGGTCTCTGAGCACCCTGGACCGCGGGAGCCACAGAGCGCCTGGAAGCTACTCCTCTGAGATGCACGTACCGCAGCAGTAAGAACTTCCTGCTTGAGTCCTGTATCCCCTTCCTCTGGAACTCCCGGGAGTAGGGGTGGAAGACCCCGGGGGGAGGAGCGAGGGAGATTCTCCTGCAGCTCTTTCTCCCCTCCCTCCTCCGCCCCACCTCTCCGGGCGTGCAGGCAGGCATGGATGTGCTCAGCCCTGGCCAGGGCAACAACACCACGTCCCAAGGACCCTTTGGGACAAGCGCCAACATTACTGGAATCTCTGACGTGACCTTCAGCTACCAAGTGATCACCTCTCTGCTGCTAGGCACGCTTATTTTCTGCGCGGTGCTGGGCAATGCGTGCGTGGTGGCTGCCATCGCCCTGGAGCGCTCCCTCCAGAATGTGGCCAACTATCTCATCGGTTCCTTGGCAGTCACTGACCTCATGGTGTCAGTGCTGGTGCTGCCCATGGCAGCGCTATACCAGGTGCTCAACAAGTGGACTCTGGGCCAGGTCACTTGCGACCTATTTATCGCTTTGGACGTGCTGTGCTGCACCTCGTCCATCCTGCACCTGTGCGCCATCGCTCTGGACAGGTACTGGGCCATCACGGACCCCATCGACTACGTGAACAAGAGGACACCCCGGCGCGCCGCCGCGCTCATCTCGCTCACGTGGCTCATTGGCTTCCTCATCTCCATCCCGCCCATGCTGGGCTGGCGCACCCCCGAAGACCGCTCGGACCCCGACGCGTGCACCATCAGTAAGGACCACGGCTACACCATCTACTCCACTTTCGGCGCTTTCTACATCCCTCTGCTGCTCATGCTGGTCCTCTACGGCCGTATTTTCAGAGCTGCGCGCTTCCGCATTCGCAAGACGGTCAAGAAGGTGGAGAAGAAGGGAAATGACACTCGCCTTGGAACTTCGCCGGCCCCGCCAGCCAGGAAGAGCGCGAATGGGCAGCCAGGTGACAGAGACTGGAGGCGGGGCGTGGAGAGCAAGGAGAAGGGGGCTCTGTGCGCCAACGGCGCGGTGAGGCTGGGCGACGATGGAGCCACGCTGGAGGTGATCGAGGTGCACCGCGTGGGCAGTTCCAAGGAGCACCTACCCTTACCCAGCGAGGGCAGCACGACCCCAGGGGTCTGCGCCGGCCTCCAGAGGAAAAATGAGCGCAACGCCGAGGCGAAGCGCAAGATGGCTCTGGCCCGCGAGCGGAAGACCGTGAAGACGCTGGGCATCATCATGGGCACCTTCATCCTCTGCTGGCTGCCCTTTTTCATCGTGGCCCTCGTCCTGCCCTTCTGCGAGAGCAGCTGCCACATGCCCACGCTGTTGGGTGCCATAATCAACTGGCTGGGCTACTCCAACTCCCTGCTAAACCCGGTCATTTACGCCTACTTCAACAAAGACTTTCAAAGTGCGTTTAAGAAGATCATCAAGTGCAAGTTCTGCCGCCGATGATGACGAGGAAAAGCCGAAGAGGAAGGCCAGGGCCCGGTTCGCTTGCTCGCTTCGCTCAGCACCCTGAAATCCACCTCGGAAAGAACTCGCTGCCTTCCCCCACTTGTTTCCAATTCCGCGCCCCGGGTTCCACACTCGCCCGTTCCCTCGGCGCCAGTGCGGGACGCCCAGTGCGGGCTCCGGCTGTTGGACCCCAGCGCCTGGGGAATTCCCGGGTCGGTAAGAAGCTAGAGCGTCTCAGATTCTGACCTAACCATCAGTTTTGATCCCACTAATCAATGCCTGCTTCCCTCCTCTGTCCCCTAAGTCTTCGAGGTTCAAGTTTAAGCCTCAGACGTTCAAGGGAGAAAATCCAACTCAAAACAAACAAAAAACAAACAAAAAAACAAAAAAACAACAAAAAAAAAAAAAACAAAAAAACGCACATAGCCGCTGCGCCCACTAACGGCCTGCACCTGCCTGTCCCACTTGTAGAACTTGGACTTTGAGGTTTAGGACGTTGTTTCGTTTCTTTTGTACCTTAGAGGGGCTACTCTGCCAGTGCCGTCGCTTTTCCCTTTCCCTGCTTGCCTATCCGCCCTCCCCCGACCCTGAGTGCTCAGCTCGGCTCTGGGAAGCACGTAGGGGCCGCTTTTCCCTGGCCGGGGCCACTCCTGAGGGCAGTCCCGCCTGCCGCGTTTTCTAGGAGTCGGTACAAGCGGCTGGAAGGTGTCTTAGAGTCCGAATGTAAGTACAAAGCCGGACCAGAGGGGGCTAGCGAGGAGGAGAGCGCGGTCCTTCTGGGCCATGCCTGTCTTGGTCTCAGCACTCCCCAAAGACCCCGACATCCGGCACGGTGCACTTTGGTTTGCAAGGTCGCAGGCCGCTCTTCCCTTCCTGGCGCTGCCGCTCCTTTACTGCGGGAGGCGCCCGCGGTCTGCGAGTCGCCGGAGGGTCCAGGGCCAGGGGGCCTCTGAGCAAGCTCGGAGACCTTTAAAGTCAAATTAGAACTTCTCAAAGTGGAGGTCCTGCGTGAGGACCTCTAGTAACCGGGGAGACCCAGATGTGCTGAGGGCCTGGCGGGGAGGCGACGAGGGAAGACTTCAGAGCCTCTCCTTCAGGAACAGGAGAAGGCAGCTCTATGTCTGAGATAAGACCTTTCTTTTGGTCTCTTCTGAACATGAGTATCTCTGTTGAATAGTGTCCTGACACCGCACTGACTTTGTTCTACAGAAACAAAATTAGTGGCAAGTTCATTCCCAAGTAGGGATTCTGACTTTTCAGTGGAATGGCTCCCACTCTGCTGGCACTTTCTGTGAGCTCGGAGGCTGAGACCTTACATAGTGGAGTCCCAAAGGACCAGTTAGGTGCCTGCTCCCTCTCAGGAGAGTCTGAGTATCTTGTAGGGGATTCGATTTGTCCCCAGATCTGGAGTCTCCTCCAGGCGTCCACGGGGAACTAGCTTTGTGCCCTTTGAATTCATGGAACATCCCAAGCTTTCTGTTCCTCAAAGAGCGTTTAAGAAGATCACCAAGTCTCAGGGTCATCATTTCTGCTGAGTTAGCATCATCTTCGCTGTGCCGGGAGAGGAAAATTGTTTCGATGCTCAGTTTGAATGTAAATCCCCAACCACAGGTAGGGAGCTCAAGATGTTTGTCATAGATCCGCATCCTCTGACTTTTTTTTTTTTTTTTTTGGGAGCAATGATTTTATTCTCCAGTAATTGGATAGCTACTGCAGCTTATTCCCTTCTCCCTTTAACCCCACCTTTCTGATGTTGCACTTGCTGCTTTGAGATCCATGTTGCACTTTTACTGACTGGACAATGGCCAGTGATGTAGTCACTTGTCTATAAACAAGAGGTGGAAGGATAGCTCTATCACTTGAAGCCACTGCATTGTTTTTCGAACTTAGCAAAGTCTCCATTTTAATGTTTGGCTAAACCTCTAGTAGTTATCAAATCTTGTTTAAATAAACATGAGGAGCTTTAAGAAATCCTTGATTATGCACGTGTAATGTTGATGGGGGCCCTGGCTGAGAAGAAGGGGTAGACTTCTGGGCAACCATTATTTGTTTAAAAGCTCAATTTCTTTTCTGCTCAACAATGTAAAGCAGAAGCAGATGAAAAAAAAAATGAAGTTTTCTGTAATTTTTACAGAAGTATCAGAACAAATTCTATATTTAAATTGATTCAAACTCCAAATTTTCTTCTCCAACTTATGCTTTGGCCAACAAGTATTCCATTTGAAATGTTGAGACTTCTATTTATTTGTGTCTTTTACAGAACTGTATGGCCATAATTTTGGAGCATTTGTTCCTGTTTTGGAGGCTTTACACAAGAATGGAGACAAATATCCCATTGGATTGTAACTCCCAAGCAATAGAGAAATTAATGTAAAAGACCTACATTGCTCTAAAAAGCCTCTGTTGCTTTTTTCCCTTAAAATGTTTGTATTAAGGTAAAGTACTTATGCATCAAAATTGACCTTCACTTTTCCCTGTAACAATAAAGGACTTTATTAATGGCAATGCTTCAATAAACTGTTATCAGTAACATATGCGTCTTTGTTTAATCAGAATCTGTCTACTTGCATTTATTCATAAAACTTTAAAATTAGAGGTAAAACTGCAGTTATTAAGAGAAGATCCTGCCATATGGGTAAGGGATTTGACACTTAGAGAAATATTTAGTTTGCAATATGAAAACTCATTCTGGATGAGTGATTGATTTTAAAATTCTGTTTCTGGAAAGAAAATGTCACATCTCCTGGGTTAGGAACAAAACATGCATTTTCCCTCACTGAGTCCCACTGATAAGCTTTAGGCATCTGTCTAATTAATCTGAATAGAGTAGGGAACATATAGAGGAGAAGTGCAGCCTCAAATAGAAGCAAAAAGGGCCCATCCTGCATTTTTAAAACAGCAAGGCAGTGACCCTCTTCTTTCTTTCCCATAACACACAAAGAAAATTATCTCTTTTAATTTCCAAAGAAGTCACTCATTGTTTGGGGAATTGTCACCTCAATTAAAGTGGAGGGGGCATCTTCTTTTCTGACTAGAAATCATTTGTTAGGGCAGTTCTGGATGTAAGACTTACTAGTATGTTAAAGATAATTGTTTTGCTGTTCTTTCCCCCAACCCCCCTACTGGGACCAGCAGTAATACCTCTTGTCTCCGTTGTTATATTTGTTGACCTTATTGATTTCCAGTGTCAGTATGATTTCTGCAGAGTAAGAAGAGCTCTGTTAAATTTCAAGGGTAAATGAAGGTCAAAGCTATCATGGCCACAGCAGAGAGCATGCAAAAGCTGCATGAAGCATGGTTCAAGCAATGTGAATATGTACACATATTGTTCCAATTAGTGTTCATAAAAATTAGAGGAATTGAGAGAATGAGAAGTATCTGGATTTTTCTCTTGAAAAATATTATACAAGCTCATCTCTGATCTGGAGTAAAATGCTGAGTAGAGCACATTCATCTTTGAGATTCGAAACATTCATATATACATATTCTTTTAATGTGGTATTGGGTCTCACTACACATATTCTTTTAATGTGGTATTGGGTTTCACTACACAGCTTGAACTCCTGTTTCAGCTTCCCCAACTCTGGGATTCTAGGAGTGAATAACCATGCTCATCTTGGTGGCTAGTTTGGCATGCCCTGGGTGGGGCCAACAGGGCATTCGGTACCAGGGATTGAACCCGGGTCCTTGCACTTGCTTAGGAAGGATGAGTCCTTGCAAGGATTACAGATAGCTGCTAAGCTATCTCTGTAGCCAAACATTCCCTTCTTGACTCTTAATCTTTCATCTGATCTCTTCCCCATGGAAACAACAGCTTTCTGCTTTACTATAGGCCTTCCAGGAGCCTCTGCAAAGAGACCACAACTAAGACAGACTCCTTATAATCATTTCAAATGTGACTAACAAACCCACTAACCCATTAGATAGTTCAAGTGGTGATTACTACTTGATAAGAGATGGGGAGATGGCTCAGTAGAATAAGTGCTTCCCTGGCAAGCACAAGGTTCTGAGTTCAAACCCTGGTTCAACAAAAGCAATACTTGATAATGTTGGAAAACGGGACTATAAATTCATAAAGAATTTATGTATGTAGGAAGAAAATGTTAAGGCTAAGGTTAAGTAACCATTCACAGTAGCATAGAAGTGGCATAAGCAGGCTGATTCATAGGAGTTTGGCTCTGTACTCACCCAGAGGATAAAGATCAGCATGGATTGGGTGAATAGGGTCAGAAAGGCAGGGAAGGCCATATGAAGGACTCAGGATTGAGTTCTTGGCAAATGGGGGTGGTATGCAATGGTAGATATTTTTAAGATCTTCTTCCTGGTAAATAATGGCCTGGGAGTTTAAATTTTGACTGGATTGCTAGGTATTGGTGGACAATCAGAGTTAATCAGAGAGAAAGATGCAGGCTAGACACTTCCTTTGTGTTAGGTCAACTTGGAGAATCTGGGGAGTGGGAGAGAGACACAGAGACAGACAGAGACAGAGACTGAGATAAAGGCAGATCTCATGTCAAAGAAAGTGAAAGAGGGAGGATTTAGGATACTAATTTTTTTTTTTTTTTTGTTCTAACAGAGAGCAGAAAAAGTGACACTAGAGGCAGGTACAGGACAAAATAATTTACCCTTATGTAATACTTGAGATTTTGCCAAGTAATAACTTTCTTTCTTTTATAAAAACTATTTCTTTATTTGGTGCAAAGTCTCACTACACAGCTCAGACTGGGAGTGATCCTCCTCTCTCAGCCTTCCCAGCACTGGGTTTACAGGTATGTGCCACCATGCCTGGTTTTAGTGGCCAGCTTGGCGCAGGGGTGGCATGGCATGAAGTATTAGGGATTGAACCTGGGTCCTTGCAATTGCCAGGCTGGAGTTTAGACTGCCGAGATAGTTCCCAGGCCTTTGCCAAGTAATTTTCATACATAATGTACTCTTTAAATTTGAGGTAGTAGATCCTTTCAGAAATACTAATTAGGACCTTTCTGCTAAACCAGGAGATCTGCATAA